TTACTGTAAGTTTTGTTCGTCTTCTTTATTCTCTTATGTTTTCTTCATCCTTTTTTGTTAGTCTGCTCTCTTCGTCTTCTCTCACTAACAAATTAATTTTTTTTTCACATCTGTAGATACCTCTTCATTTTCTAATAGCCTGCTCTCTTTATCTTCTGCGCTAACAAATTAGTTTTTTTTTTTACATCTGTAGGTACTTTTTCATTCTCTCTTTCTTTCTTCTTCACTTTGTGAATGGTGAATCATCCATTCTCTCTTTCTTTCTTTTTTCCTCTCTATTAACTTAAAAATTATCCTACTAATTTGTTCTCTTTTTTTCCTATTTCGTAAGATTTTAGAGCAATTTCAAACGCTCTCTAATTTAAAACAGAACCGCTCTCAGATCTCTATTCTGGCGTAGTGAATGTTTTAGGGGTAATGTGGGATTAAGTTTATACCCTTCCCTGTTCATATATCTACTTCAAAGCTTAATTTTTTAAATATACATTTTCATTATAAATTAAAGGTTTTTCAATTTTTTCTTATTCAAAATAAAATGACAATGACTCCATTTTCAAAATATAACCATGTTATGCATTTTGTCTCATGTAAAAATGTAACACTTTTATTTTTATTTCTCTTGTTTTCAAGAAAAATAAGAATTTTGGTGTAGAGTTTCTTATTGAAGCAAGACAGATATTTTTAAAATTAGACTTTTATGAGACATTCTCGCTCAAGCAAGAAAAGATTAGGTCGCTCTAATTGTCAGGCGGCCTTGCAGGAAAAATCTGTAATCTGGAATCATTCTCACTCAAACAAGGATACCTCTTATTCAGGCAAGAATATCAGAAAGAGCCTGAAAAAACCACTATCTGTTTTTCTTGCTCAGGTGAGAAGGATCTCGCTCAAGCGAAAGCTTGCTTACTCAAACGAGAACACACAGATTTGAAGGGTATTTAAAGGAGTTCACATTGAGAAATTTCATTTTTCTCCAAACCATTTCTCACTCTCGATTCTCTTCATTCTCTCCCTTTCCTTTCCCAAAGAAATCTTCCCATAACTCAAAATTCCTCTCGAATTTGAGCTCCAACATTTATTCTACTTGAATTGAAGTAACTTTCTAAAGCTAAGCTCTTGAATCTCGTTTCTATTTCTCTATTTCCTCTCTTTATAATAATACTTTACCCTGTGATGTTAGGAAGAACTCTAGTTTCTAGATAGTATTTTTGGTCGAAATGTGGAGCTTTTCTCTAAAGCTCACAAAGAACTTAGCCTTAGAAATCTATTTTCAGGTAAGGGGAGTGGACCTTAAACCTTAGGTTCTAATTGTATATTCAGCTTGAGAAATTTGAAAAATCTATTTTGAAAGGGGAATCCAAAGTGTTTTTCTTGAAAGAAAAATATAAAAAGAAATGGATTTGTGGATGTGTAAAACCTATATCTATTTTTATTACTATATGAGTAAAATTTTATAATAAGAATTGTGAAGAAAACCCATTTTGAGAAGTTCCATAATTTACTTAATGATGATTATGTGTGAATAGTCCTAGGGTGTAAATTCGTGTTGAAAATAATAAGTTTGCTAGAACATGATTAAAACCTTAGGTTAGATTACTTTTATTAAGACCGAGAGAGTGTGATCTCTGGCAAAATACTTATGAACTATACTATTGGTCTTAGTCTAGGAGCGTCCAACCTTTAGCGCATTGTATTGGTCTTGCAATGATGTGTTCTTCTGTTTTATAATTGTATGTTTGATTGAGAAGTTTGGGTGAAATTGATATAAATGGTTTAGCTGTCATTGAATGATAAAAGATATTGTATTACATATGTGTAAATTGAATGAAGTATAAATGCATGTACTTGAGACATGAGTCAATGAAATGAATAAAGTAAAAGAGATGAAGGAAACTTGATTGATAGTAAGAGTTATTAATGAGATTGATGTGAATTGCTAAGAGAATGTAAAGTAAAAGAAATTGAAGGAAAATATGTTACTAATGAAAATTGATGAAATATTGAAATGATAATTAAATGTGTAATATGTGAAAAATGTTGAAAAGGTGTAAGAAAAAGAAAAGGAGCGTAACTGATATATGTGTTACAAAAATACCGATTAATGTGATTATAGTATATGTGTTGTAATACATCGATGAGTAAGATTATAACATATATTGTAATACATTGATTAGTGTGATTGTAACACGTGTATTGGAACAATATGATTGTAATGTGCCACTGTTGAATTTTCATATGGATAATTCAGAGATACAATGAGGTATAAAGTCTGGAGGCGACTTAGAAAATCTGGAAGAAATAAGGGTGATGAATGCTAATAGCTTATGTATATACGATTGATAGCGAAAGCATTCATAGGTCTCACGCTCATTTTTTGATTGATCTCTTGACTATACCTTTGTTATGAATGTCTAATAAAGCACATGTTGTATCCGTGTGTGGTGGCTGACGATGACTATCCATGCTGGCGTAAGCCCATCATAGCTAGGAAGAGTATATTGGCAAAGATTTGGAGGCCCATGAGTATCTAAAGTACTCTTATTTGATGAATATTTCATAATTGAAATGATTAAAGTGACATGAGTTAAGAAATTAACTATGCCAAATAAAGAGAAATTGATGTTATTTGATTAGGTAAGGAATTATGTATATGAATGTTCTCTGTTTGATTTATAATTATTTTATAAATAAATTTTAATTTGACGCATAATGTACTAGAAAATATTTTGTATTACTAAGATTATATTATTAAAATAAAAATTTAATTGCTAAAGAAAACTCACCCTTATAAACATTTTCATGTAACAAAAGAATTTAAAGATAGATCCATTATAAAATCATACTCGCACCGGATTGTAATAAAGAGAACTATTTTATTAAGATTAGTTATTTTGAGAAATGTAATCATATTAATTTAATTTTCATTTAAAACTTATGACATTTCAATAAATCATATTGTAATGTGTAATATTCAATAATTAATTATTTTAAATTTTTATTATTATTATTTTATATTTAATTTTAGTTAAAAATTTATTTTATTAAAAGATAATTTTTTTATACCATAAATTCAAAATATATATATCAAAACATAATTTAAAATTTAGCTTCTATTTTATACATAAATTTAAGTTATGAAACGTATTTTAAAATTTGTTAATTTTGTTAGCCTATATTTATAGATCTATATAACATTTTAACTATCCAAATCTTTACAAATCTCATTTAAGTTTTATTTAAAATAACATAAATTAAAATAAACTATTTAAATGGTATTAAAGATGTTATAGAAAACATATCATAACTTTAAGAAAGATATGATATATTATCAGTTAAATTAGTAAATTAGTTCTTTAATTTTTTATTTTGTTTTGTTTTAATTTGATCTTCTTATATTTTCTTTTCAATTCAATTTCTTATGTGTTATCCTTATTATATATTTTAATAATAATAAAAAAAATTATTATTATTAGATTAAATTATACATTTAATTTTTATAGTTGACACTTCTATAAAATAGTTATTATATTTAAAAAATTATATTTTAATCTTTATACAAGTATTTTGTTACGTATAACATTAAAGATTAAAATGTAATAATATATTCATTTGATTAAAACATAAATTGTTTTAAGTGTAAAAACTAATTTGTAAACATATATAATAAAAACATATTATCAACCAGAAATAATGACTATTTTTAGGTTTGTATTTTTCTCTAATAAATTTTATTTTGACTTTTGTTGGGTAACTCTAAACATAAATATGGCTCAAGCTAGGTTTTTTTCTTCTACAAAGTTGAATAGGTGTGTTTAGAATAGTTTTTCTTAGAAGTTGATCATGTAAATGGCTATTTGTATAATCTCAAGAATTCTAACAAGTTATACCTACTTATTCATTATTTTTCTCAATTTTATGAAAGTACTCCTCTCTATTGAATTTCTCAAATGCATTGACTTTTCTTAATCAAATAAAGATAATAATATTGAAAATAATCATAAATAAAAGTAATAACTTGATTAAAATAAATTGTGGGAAAAAAATTCACTAATATATTGTGGGGAAAAAATTGCTATGTGCCAACAATCACTCAAAAGTGGGATCTCAAATTGTTCCAAAACATAGCTTTAGTTGAGGATGTGTTATTACAGAAGAAACAGAGAAATTATTATCTTAAATCCAATGGAGTAGAGGAACTTAACTAGTCTAATAGATTTTTATATGATTTGATTTGATTTTGCAATGATTGGATGCAGGATTCCATTTGATATCCTAAAATAGACACGGGGCAGCAAAATCATATCATTGTAATATGACAGTCATCCCTCGAACCACACCAGAAAGCATGTCTTTCGTTTTCTTCCCCTCAGCAAATTTGTTCATCATAGTTGTGAGAACTAGATTTCCTAGATAACGGTAACTAATATCAACCGTTTATTAATTTAACCGTTACAGGATTGTGCACGCATTTACCGTATAAATGGGTGACTCACGATAAACGGCACCGTTGACGATGTTCTAATAGCTTTTGACAACTGAAGAAACAATGACAAAATGACTTGCGAGCAAATGAACTATGTCTTAAAGACTGAGGCCTCCAGCTGTAGGAGGTATAACTGTGCCGCCACTGGAAGGAAGAACACGCACTCAATACCAAAATGGGTTCTTAAGAGGTTCAGGTCAAATATGAATAAAATAATAATTTTACAAATATAACAATGTAAAACTTCTTACTATATTGCATACGCGTTAAGGAAAAAAATCTGTACACCAAAAGCCCGTAAAATGTTTTACAGGCATTAAAAATTGCGTAAGATTCTCCAGCCTCGTATAGAACCAATGCGAGATGAAGTTCAAAATTCAATCTTACCCATCTACGGTAAAATAAAAGCAACTACTGAAAGTATTTTTGTTCGGAATCGCGTTTAACTATCAAACTGAATAATGGACTGATATAACCAAGATAGTGAATTACACGTATTGGATTCCTAGAACGCTTATAACCCATCAAGGTATATTTTATTAAACCATGGACACGGCAATTCAATGCTCTTATGTTCTTAACAGCATCGTTTTCCTCAAAAAGAGAAAGACTCAAACAGTCAGCTAAAAATTCTTCAAATACAAGTTCGTCTTCGTGTTCTGTTAGTTATAACAACGTAAAACTGTCAAAATTGAATTGCTGAAGATATGCTTTCCTAATGAAATTACAGTTAAAATCAGAACATTGATTCAATCATGCTCTCAGGCACAGGCCACTAACCATAATGATTAGAAAGGGATTAAACTATTCTAAGCCTTGGCCCATTCAGTACTTCAAAATGTTCAGGCTAATGACTACATCAACCCAAATGAGGAGTAAGAAACATTGCCCCCAGAACTGATGACGAAATCTGAATCCACTGGAACAATCATCTGTATTTGCCATATATTTCATTATATGACATCCTATTCCACAAAAAGGAAAAACTCTCTTCAGCAATTCATTTGTGAAAATTATCTGGATCAAAATCAATTATATCCATGCTGCAGGGCATTATTGTCAAACATTTAATTTCCACGTCAGCTGACATTATTAACTATTTTCCCTTAAAGCTAAACACATGGCATGTGATGCGCCAATTGCAATTGATAAGACTTTGTAGGGTCCCAATCCATCATCTTCCATTAGAAAGTTGACTTCAACCGGCAATGGTTGAACCGCTGGTAGCCCAGGAACTCCCAATTGAGAATCATTAGCATTTCCCCACATGTACAACTTTCCATTATCTGTTCAGAACCAAAAAGAGCATGTTAAGTTTGCACTATACTGGTGTGAAAAATTGTTACACAAGAACTTATCAAGCCAAAAATGACATGTAATTTCTCAATCAGTAGCAGCAGCAAATCCAGCGAAGATCGGGACTGTAATTGAATAGGCCAAAAACAAACAACAAATCAGAAGGTTTTCGGGATTAGCTGGATGTTACTGGTTTATTCAAGGATTTTCATAGCTAGTATTGCTTCTTTTTAGACTCACCAAAAACGGGATTCAGTTATTCGGGCAAAGGAATGAAGAATGTTTGCCATGGACTAGTTAGAAGGACTAGTGCACAACCAGCCCGCTGTGAGTGCTAAGACTGTGGAGTACGGTAATTATGGGACTTGAAATCCACATTGGAGGTATAGGATTTATAGGCACTTTCCAACTACAATTGCTAGCTTTTGTGGGGTGTTTCTCCTAAGTTTCTTATCACTAGTGTTAAACATTTGTAATTATAGTAATAATACAACTTTATCTTTGTAATTATGTTAATAAGATAATTGAATATTTTGTAAATATTTTGTAATTATTGTTATTATCAATATAAATATATATTTTGTTGTGTAATTGAAACATAAGTATTCCATCAATGTTCTTTCATTTTTCCTTCTCTCTTAACATGGCATCTAGAGCCGTGGGAAAGGGCTGACTACTCATTGGCCGATTTCTGGTCTTCCCTTTGCCACGTTATTGTTTATCAATGGAATTACTGTTCAACATCAACATTACTATTCACCATCAGTACTGTTCCAGCAACTTTTCTTCTGGCAACCACACAATCTGAACCACCTCGTTGTGCACAACCCAACACAGCTGGACTCATGTCGATTGGAGCTCTGATGCACCCACACGCACTATAAAATGCAGCGTGTCAAATCTGCCCAGCTGCCGCTCGTGGAGGTGCATGATGCCATTTCTCCAACCACTGTTGACCCTGACGGAGTTGCTTCTTACAGCCATAGTAGTCAATAGCGAAAATAGCGGCCGCAATCGCGGCGGAGCGGCCCTTTCCCGCAACGGCGACGCTGTCGCGTTTCACAGTAGCGGCTGTCGCGCCGCGAATAGCAGCGGAAAACACCAAAAATAGCGGCTGGAGCGGCCGCTCTCTCATTCTCGCGCGTTTCTCCTTTTTGCCCCTCATCTTTTACCGTTAGGGCCCTTTAAGGGGGACAATTTTGGAATTTCGACCCCCCCTTATATTTCTGAATCATCTTCAACCCTAGCCTCCATCCATCTGCTCTCCTCTCTTCTCCCGTCGGTTCTCTCTCCTCTGTTCTCGGTTCTCTCTCCTCTGTTCTTTGTTTTCCGATGATCCTTTGTTCTTTGTGCTCTGTTTTTCCGGCGAGACTTCCACTTGATTTTCCGGTCATCTTCTTCGTCTCTGGCAAGCTTCTAAGGTGACCCAAACTATTTTGAGTCATTTTCTTCATCTCTTCTCATCTTCTTCAAGGTCAACACAACTTTCCGGTCATCTTCTCCAACTCCGGCAGACTTCCGGCGAACTTTCCGGTACTAAACATTTTTTTTTTCCTATATTTTTCTCTGTTTTTTTTTTTCTCTTCTCTGTTTTGATTCTTCTATTATTTTTTGTTCGAAATTTCAAAGCTTAAAGAAGTAATGGCTACTCCTCCCAATCTGTCATAAGGAACCGACTCTGTTTCAATTTCATCCTGTGCATTAGTGAAGCCTTCAGGAAATAATTTGGATATAGGTTGACAATGGAATAATTTGAAAGACATAAATAATAAAAAGTCTGTTACTTGTGACTTTTGTGGAAAAACGACTACAGGCGGTATTATCCGAGCAAAGAGGCACCAGATGGGAGTGAAGGGAGATGTTGATAAGTGTCCAAGGATTCCCAAAGAAATAAAAGAAACACTAATAGCAGCTCATGAAAAGAAGAGAATTGAAAAAGAGGTATATTTACTTCAGCATGATGAAGATGATGATGATGAAGAAGAGCTGCAAGAAATTCAAAATATTCGTAGTGGAAAACGACCTGCAACCTCAAGTGTTGCATCAGATTATGTTAGTAGTTGTAATGCGACGAAAAAAGGAAAAAATGTCAAGGACCCATTGGATTTATTGTGGTTAAAGAGTCCAGAAACAAGCATCAAATTAGCAAAATCAAAAAGACAAACAAGTATAAATGATGCTTGTGTCAAAGAGGCCAGAGCAAGAACAGTTCAATACATAGAGCGATTCCTTTGTAGGAATGAAATTGCTTTCAACGTTGTGCGCTCAAAAAGTTTCAAATTAATGGTTGAAGCTATTGGAAACTATGGTCCACATCTAAAGCCTCCTAGTTATCATGAGTGTAGAGTTCCGCTTCTTAAAAAGGAGTTAGAGTATACAAAGGAAATGTTGAAAAGTCGTGAAGAAGAAAGAGAAAAATATGGATGTTCAATTACGTCAGATACGTGGACGGATAAAAAAAATAGAACATTGATCAATTTTCTAGTAAATTGTCCAACTGGTTCTATGTTTGTAAAGAGCATTAATGCATCTGCTTATATGAAAACTGGAGAAAAGTTGTTTGAGCTCTTGGATAGCTTTGTTGAAGAGATTGGAGAGAAAAATGTTGTGCAAGTAGTTACTGATAATGGAAGTAATTATGTATTAGCCGGTAAGAATTATTCTTAACTCCCTATATTAATTTCAGTTACTAATTATTTTATTAGTTTCTAATTTTAGACTGTAATCTAATTTTAGGTAAGTTGTTGCAAGCTAAAAGACCACGTTTGTTTTGGACTCCATGCGTTGCACACTGTATTGACTTGATATTAGAAGACATTGGAAAAATACCTAGAGTCAAGAGAACAATCCAAAAGGGAGTTACTCTTGTGGGTTTTATTTATAATCATTCATTGACTTTGAATATTATGAGGAAGTTCACCAATAAAGCTGAATTGGTTAGATATGGAGTGACAAGGTTTGCCACAACATTCCTCACATTACAAAGGTTGCATAATCAAAAAAACAACTTTAAAAAAATGTTCACTTCTGATGAGTGGTTAAAGTCCAAAACAGCCAAAGAAGCTAAAGGAAAAAGGGCAACAAACACTGTACTTATGCTTTCTTTTTGGAATGATGTGGTTTTCTATCTTAAGGCTATGGGGCTACTTGTGCAAGTTTTGAGACTTGTTGATAATGAAAGAAAGCTTGCAATGAGTTATATATATGAGGCAATTGATAGAGCTAAAGAAAGCATTCAAAATGCATTCAAAGGAAATGTAGACAAATATAAGGAGATTTTTGCTATAATTGATAAAAGATGGGAGTGTCAACTTCATCATCCATTACATGCTGTAGGTAATTATCTGAATCCTCAATTTTTTTATAGCAATAAACAAATTGAGAATGATCCTGAAGTTGTGGAAGGCTTGTATAAATGTATTGAAAGACTATGTACAAATGAAGATGATGTAGACAATGCTACAATTCAATTATCAACATATAGAAGAGCTGAAGGTCTCTTTGGTTTAAGTGGAGCAAAAAGACAAAGGGCTACAATGGCTCTTGGTAAGAGATTTGTTTAATTTTTTTATTGTAATGTAATTATGTAGATATAACACAAAAGGTTAATAAGTTGATGCATAACTTGCAGCTGAATGGTGGAAGAATTATGGAGTACGTACACCACATTTACAAAATATTGCTATTAGAATGTTGAGTTTGACTTGTAGTTCATCTGGATGTGAACGAAATTAGAGTACTTTTGAGCACGTAAGTAAATATCTGAATCCTCAATTTGAAGTTCTTATATGAAAAGTGAAAATCTAATATTTTTTTTTATGGTAAAATAGATTCATTCTAAAAAGAGAAGTAGACTTGAGCATCAGATGTTACAAGACTTGGTTTTTATTAAATATAACCAAGCTCTTAATGAACGTTTTGAGTGTTCTGACGTGGTGGATCCTATTATCTTAAAGGATGTTGATGATAGTAATAATTGGTTGCTAGAAGGAATAGCTGAAGATGCTGTAGATGAATTAGTGTTTGATGATGATAACTTGACTTGGGGAGCTGTTGCTAATGCAATTGGGGCTAGTGAGCCTATAACCTACACTAGGCGACAAGCTAAATCAAAATCCAAGACAACTACAATTGCTTATTCATCTAAATCTAAGGGAAAAGGAAAAGAAATTGTACAAGAAGAAGAAGAAGAATGTGATGACGAAGACTCTGAAGAAGAGGAGGAGGAGGAGAAGGTTCTTTACAAAAGTAGTGATGAAAGTGAAAATGAAGAAGACATGGCAAATCTTGGAGATGAAGATGATGATAATTATTAAAATATTTGTATTTGAATTGAACACTTAGTATTTTTAAACATCTAAGCATTAGAGACTTAAATTTAGTTAGTTAAATTTATTTTTATATTTTGTTGTTACTTGTTATTGACATCTAAGCATATATATATGTGTGTAATTTAATTTATGAGTTTATGAGTATATTTATAATACCTAAAATAGCGGCCATCCCGCTATCCGCTATGCCGCTATAGCGTTTTTGAGGTCGGCCGTGGATTCGAGATTGACTACTATGCTTACAGCCACTATTACACTTTATGTTGGTGTCTCTTGCTTATGGGCTGTCTCATGGCCCAGAAAGTTTCATTTGCCCCTTTTGAGCTTGTGGCTCTAGTTATGTTCTTAACTTCTACTCCTCCTCCTGCCACCTACAATGACTTCTTTTGACGGTACAAGGAGCATCAAACCTCTAGTTCCACTGCCTCTTGCTCATGGGTCCTTGATTCTAGGCCTAGTAATCACGTCACTAGTAATAAGTCTCTTTATTTACCATCAACTACTATGGCTAATGGGTCTCAAACACAATCTCAAGATCTCGGTATTGTTCATCCCATTTTATCACTTTCTGTTAATAATGTTCTTTATGTTCTTGACTCTTCCTTTAATTTGTTATGTATTAGTTGTATAACTCATTCTCTTGATTGTGTTGTATCTTTTACTAAAGACTCTTTCTGCAAGACCAGAGTTTAGGGCAAATGATTGGTGTCAGACTAGAGTCACAAGGACTTTATCATTTATATCCCTCTACTCATATTGGTTCTGTGGTGAACTCTCCTCTCATGGTTCATGCACAATCAGGTCATCTCAGACTTCAAATATTACAGCAAATGGTCCCAAGTCTCTTTCAAATATCCACTTTGTCTTATGAGTCCAATCAATTAGGCCAGCATATTCACAATTCTTTTAGTAGTCCATATTAGCCATCGAGCTTCATCTCCTTTTAATGTGATTCCTTCTAATGTCCAAGTCTCACTGTCTACCTTAAGATTTAGGTATTTATTACTTTTATTGATGACTATTCTCATTGTACTTAGTTATATTTAATGAAAAATCGATTAGAGTTATTTTTTATATTTCAATTTTTTTACCATGAAATTAAAAATCAATTTGGTGTTCTCATTCACACCTTGAATGGTGACAATGCTCATCAATATTTGTCTCATACCTTTCAAAATTTTATGACTTTTAATGACATTTTTCATCAGACTTCTTATGCTCATACCCCTCAACAAAACGAAATTGTCAAAAGAAAAAAGACACATTATTGAAACTACTTGTACTTTTTTTTTTTCCTCATGGTAATATTCTACATTGTTTTTTGGGTGATGCTGTCCTTACAGTCCTACTACCTTAGTCCTACTACCTTATTAATCAGATGCTTTCTATCCTTAGTAATTAGGTACCATACTCTTTCTTGTTTCCGCATCAATCTTTACATCCTCTCCCTTGTGTCTTTGGATCTACTTATATGTTCATAATCTTAGTTCAGGAATTTACAAGCTCTCTGCTCCTTCTCACAAATGGGTCTGTCTTGGCTATGCACAATCTCAAAAAAGTTACAAGTATTACTCTCATACTCCTAATCTTTATCTTATCTTGACTGATGTTACCTTTTGAGTCAATTCCATTTTTTGGCTTCTGCTTCTTCACCTTCTGACTCTAGGTCTACATCTATCGCACTTCCTTGGTCTCTTCCTCTTGTTATTTTTCAACCACTAGAGAGTAGAGACACCATTTCTTCCAGATAGTCCCCTTCAGCATCCTTTGCAAGTATACCACAAATGAAACCACACATCCTCTTTGCCACCACCAGCCAATGATGCTCCTTTTGACTTACCTTCAGCACCATCTCCTTCGCTTCCTTCGACCTTGCCTCTTGTGTTTGATCTTTCTATTGCTTTTTGAAAAGGTATATGCTTCACTCATAATCTTTCTCCTCATTATGTTGCTTTAATATATCATCCTTTGTCCCCTTTCCATTATACTTGTCATTCCTTGTCTTCTATTTCTATTACTAAAAATATAGGTAATACTCTCTCTCATCTTGGTTGGTGACAAGCTATGATCGATAAAATGTTTGCACTTTAGAGGAATGATACTTAGGATCTTGTTCCTCTTCCTTTGGGGAAATTTATTGTTTGATGTTAAACAATCTCATTATCACTTGTTCAAATATCTCTTTTGTAGTCAATGTGGTAAGTTGGTTTCTTAATTTCCCTTGTAAAGGACATTAGGATGTGATAATTCACATTTTAAAATTCATCAAAGGGGCTCCAAGAATAGGACTGTTATATGAAGAAAAGGTCACACTTGAATTGTGGATTACTTTGATGTAGATTGGGGCAGACTCCCCTAATAATAGAAGATCCACTTCTAGATATTGTGTTCTTATTGATGATAATTTGATTTCATGAAAAAGTAAGAAAGAGTCTAGTTACTCATTAAGTGCTTAAGCAAAATATTGAGCCATGGGCTTAGCTACATGTGAACTTGTTGAACTAAAATTTGGACGGATTATGAAAATGACATTTATTTGCAATAATCAGGCAGCCCGGCATATTCTGTAATTTATTATCAATATAAATATATGCTCCCTTGTGTAGTTGAGACATGGATTCCACCAATGCTAATTCGTTTTTCCTTCTCTCTTAACAACTGGTATTACCTAGAAAAGATCATTGCATGCACGTGGATAACCCTTGCTAAACTGTGGTCATAGAGGACAGATAACGTAGAGGCAGTTTTCTTCTAGCCAAACTAAGTGAGCACATTGCTCATAGGTATCAGGTGTTGCTGCATGTCATGAGATTGTAAAAATAGTGACCCAACAGCAATTTTACACAATATCTGAGCCATGATTGTATAAATAGGAAAAAGGAACAATTGTGCAAAGGTCCACAATAAAAAACCTATCAATGCAATTAATGCTTTTCAGCCATTTACATTTTCTTCATTTCTTTCACTTGACATTTTATCCATTTCATTTATTGCCTTTCAGTTAGGAGTAGCGATAGAATAGCTTCAGATCATTATACAGTTCCAACAAGCTCTTTAGAGTGGACTGGGGATCTCTATTAATATGCAGAGTCCTTTCCTCAAACAATTGACTCTTAAAGAGAATCACCTAGTTGGCCATTTAGCTGTGCCTTGCAGCTATCTTGCTCCATTTCATAGCCAACGCAACCCAAGCCAGTACATCAGTTGGCTGGCTGTGTGGGTGGAAAGACCCAAAGACAAAAGAAAAAAAAAAGTTGTTGAATGACTGATAGAAAAAATAAAGCTAGGAGTAAACTGTTGGAAACCAGCATCAGGACTTTGGCCAGTTTAACTTTGTAAGGTTCTTTGATTTATGAGAAACCCGAAGAATCTCTCCAGCTGCCAGATTGAAGATTGGTTTTGGTTAAAAGTGTAATAGCTTGAGCTGCAAATGTGCACTATTGGTACATATACTGCAGCAACAGTAAAGTGCTCTGCCACTGTCATTTGGCAGCTGAGAGGCTCTAATCCACCCCCATGGAGGAGTATAGTGGCTGCTGCTGATTACTTTGCACAATTGTCACTGGAAACAGCATGTAAATTGACTAGAAACTAGCATAACTTTTTGAAGTAAGCAAATTCAAACATTATCCCAACAACAGTGACACCTGAAATAACAGATTCCTGGGTGCAACCTACAGCCTAAAATGTCATGCAAATTCAGAGCATCATATAAATAGGCTGAAGCAAGGCATTAAACTCTGGCCTTTACAAGACCCATGGTGAAGGATAAAAGTTACTTATATACTAAAGTGAAAAAATTCCGTAGCTAATATGCCATGTAAACTGAAATGTTTTACCCGTCACAGCTGCTGATGAAGAACCACCACAAGAAATATATATAATATGCTCATGAGCTAAAGCCTCAACTACTGCTGGTATCTTCTGATTCTGGACACATCCATGGCCCAACTGACCTTGTCCACCATGGCCCCATGAGAGCACTTTGCCATCATCTAATATAAATCAAGAATGAAGTAGTTATAATGATATAGGCAACCCATGCGAATAGAAATGAAGTAATGCTTACTTAACGTCCCATCAACAAACCAGTTAATGCAAGGGAGTGATATCCACCACTTGCTATTTGAATTATTCGAACATTCTCAAGGCTGGGTACTGGTCTTGGTTTCCAACCACCAATCTTATCACCTCTCCCAAGTTCATAGTTAGAATTGGCTGAGAAAATGCTAAAATTATCAATTTTTCAAAACTAAAAGCACTGGATCAAAGTATTTTTTTAGTTCTACAGAAAATAATATGGGAGAAAATGCCATATAAAGGAGGTGATGCTTACCTCCCCAGTTCCATAATTTCCCATCCTCTGTCAATACCATTGTGAAAAATCCCCCACAAGAAACAGCAGCAATAGGGCAAGGTAATTCTTTTACTTTAGAAGGGGTACTAAGTCCACCTGCATGATCTGGGCCCCGACCAGGACCAAGGCCCAATCGGCCATCCCCTTCATCTCGACCCCAGATATAAAGATCCCCTGCATCCGACAGAAACCTGCCATCAGTTTCAAAGGGTGTATACCTTTTCACTTCACATCTTGTTCATGTTACTGGACATTCCCAAAATGAAACTCAATTTTGTCTCAAAAAAGTTGTACACTAGAGAAATGGATTTAAAGCCTTGCGAAGTTAACAACACAAAAGAAATAAGAAAGAGTACAGAAAAAGCTAAAAATAAAAAAAATAATCTATATCCGCAATCGAGCATTACATTTTATAAGGCCTGAGAAAAACTTTGAATACATCAATCAATCTTATTTGATTTGTATAATAAAAATGCATCTTCAATTGCTCTGGAAGAAAATAAGTATTCAGGTGCCTATGAATATTAGCTGTCATACAGCGTGGGAACCCATGGGCTAGCCCTTAAAACCCTATAATAAGCTCCATTTCTGATTGGCCCACTTTTTGATAGGGCTATTTAGCCCAAACCCATGAAGCTCACTAATTAAGTGGATTAAAAATCCTTAGGGCTGGGGCTGACCCATCAGCCCTTATCTTATCTCTAAACCAAAGACCTAAGTATAACCTTTGACTGCCGGATGAGCCTTAAGGTGATCAATTTTACCGTCATGGCCGACCTTGACAATGTAAATTCATCTGCCCCAATAATAGACTTCCTTAGAGAAAGAGAAACAAGGTATCAAATACGACTGCTCTGAACACTTCTTGTCAATCATAGTATGTTGTCAACTAGGATGAGAAAGAGCATTGCCTGAGTATTCTTAAAAATAGAAGAAACAAAGGACAAGTACATGGAAGGAGACAAACGATAATCTGTCAGAACATAATGGGAAAAAGATTACAAATAGAGCATATACCTTTCCAAAGAGTAACAGGAAAATCAAGCTCAACAGGCAAGGATGGAAGAGGCTGAAGAGTTGGTGTCAAAGGTAAGTCACAAAGGGGCCCATCATTGACTAATAGTTGGTGTCTATAGTACACTTGTAAAAGACTAGGAGAATCATTTACAGGAGGTAGAATCTCAAGGGTTTGAGAAACAACCAAAACAAAAGGGGCCCATCATTGACTAATAGTTGGTGTCATCTATAGTACACTTGTAAAAGACTAGGAGAATCATTTACAGGAGGTAGAATTTCTAGGGGTTGAGAAACAACCAAAACAAAAGGAAGAGACCAGGCAAATTCAAACTCAGGTGAGTGATGAAGGTCCAAAAAAGGAAATTGATTCAAAGAAAGGAACATTAGCTAAGCAACTAAAAGTCAGTGAGCAACACTTATAACCTTTTGAGATTGAGTGTAACTAAGAAATACACATTTATGAGTATGAATAGAAAATTTGTCAACCCCTAAATTAAGATTATGAACAAAATAAGTGAATCCAAGGACATGAGGAGGTACAGATATAATGATTAATGTGAAAAAAAAAAAAGACAAAGTGTCATACTTAATTGTTAAGAACATAAGATGATACCCAATCAATAAGGTAACAGGTTATAAGAAAATATCACTGTAAATGCAATTAGAAAATCATCAGGAAGAAAAGAATGAGACTATGAGTATTTTTTGATCAAATTCGATGGTGTCTTGATATTCATTAGCCAACCTCACCTAGTGGGATAAGACTTGATTGTTGTTGTTGTTATAAAAGTGTGAATGGTTTCATAAAATGACTATTTTTAAATTACACCATTTTGTCGAGGTGTAGAGCATAAGACATCTAGTGAAAATTAACATTTGAAGTCATTTCCCTATAAGTAATACTCATTTATGGATTAGTCCTTATACTTAAAAAAAAAAAAAAAAATTTAGTCTATGTACAAGTGTTTTGTTACATTTTGGTTCCTGTTATTATAACACCACTAACAACAGGGATCAAAACGTAACAAAACACTTATGCATGAATTAAAATATAAGTTCTTTAAATATAAAAACTAATTCATAAAAGAATATCAACTATAGGGACTAAATATATAATTTTTTAATTTTATTTTTATCACAAATTTACAAAAAATATTGAGAACAGATTCAATCCCCCTTCTCTTGTTTTCTAACAAACTTTAATGTTTACAATATAAAAAAATTAATAATAATATAATAAATCAATATTTAAAAAGATCAAATTTTGATTTAAGTCTATAATTTAATATTAAGTATTCTCGTTAAATTTATTAATACTATATATATATATATATATATATATATATATATATATGAAATGAGATCCATTGATATCAAGTGTAGGTCTCTTAGACTCGCACCAAATCTTAACTGTTCAATTTATTTTAATCTTATGCCTATTATGTGTTTTTTTATTAAATTAACCATGTAACTTTCTCTCACTCCCCTAAAATATAAATCTACTACCTTTGAATGCGGGGTCTGAGTATAATCTCTCTCTTTCTCATAAATAGCTCTGACTAATCATGTAGCATGCAAAAATGGAAAATGTCAATAACAGATCATGGGGGAATATGAACTTGGGCTGTAAAGTAAACATGGGAAGAAGGCTGAAATAAATTTCATCAACATTTGTCTTTTAGAAGCAGGAGATTCATAGTTGTGCATATATCTCTTTTGTCCTATTTTAGCAAAGAGGGAAGCAAGAAGTTTCAACTCAAGAAATCTCTCTAAAACTTGTAAGTGACTGACTTATCAGTAGCTGGTTCCCAGCTATTACATTTGCTTAAAGTTTCCTTCCATCATTGCTTGTGGTGATTAATCTCCAATTTCTGTCATGCATGTGGAATGCAAGGAAAGTTCTATTATTAATAATATTGAAGATCTTGAGAAAGTTGCTCTTGTTTTGGATGATTTAGAAACCCCTCCAAAAATTATTTCAACAAATGAGACTAAAGTTGGTGAGTATTCTAATCTCTGTCTTTGTGTTGGAATGGAATTTGATTCCCTTAAGGAAGTTAAAGACTTGTAAACGTCATTTGCTAAAAAAGAGGGTTTCTAAGTTCATACTCCTTCAACTAGAGAGAATTTCTGTATACTCGTATGTTCTTATGGAGGCAAACAAATAGTCAAGAGCATGGTAGTTAAATGGGGAGTTGTAAGATTTTATGATTGTGGTCGGCCAAACAATGCAAACACAGCAGGGTAAAATTGCAATTTGAGTTGTAAAATCAATGAAATCACAATTTGATTTCAATTTTACCTAATTGTGGGGTGGATTTTAGATCCCGGCCCAAATCCTTCATAACCCGAGCCCGACGCCACTTATATTTAGGTGCGAACAAAGTCCCGCTTTCCTAAATCCTTTTCTTTCTTCATCGAACACTAGACCTCAGAGCAACTTAGTTTGCAACATTTAATTGTGTGTTCTTCACGATCTCTCTGCGGTTTTCTTTGCCTCAATCCTGCATGTTAATTGTTTTCTTCTCATCTTGCTTTGTTTTCTTCGTGGAACCCTAAACCAACAATGACTCATTAGCTGTTTTCTTCTTGCTCTGTGGTGGCAGTTCTAGGTCACTCCCAACTGCAACTAACAATTCCACTGTTGTTAGCTCTTCATGCATGCCTCATAGGTTGATTCCCCAGAATGTTCATGGAAACAGGGCAGATGTGGGATGGAAATATGGATTTTCAGTTCAAGGAACTGTGAAGGTTCAGAGCAAATTCTGCTAAAAAGGTACTAAATGGAGGTATTTATTGCGTAAAACACCACTTGACTAAAATAAATCAAAATATTGAACCTTGCAAATTTGTTCTTGAAGATGTGAATAAGGAAATGATGGAGATTATTACTTCCTTGAAAGGCAAAAAAAAAAAAAAAGTAGCTTTAGCTTACAAAAATGACTCTAGAAATTGGTGAAAAGAGAAAAGCCACTAAAGGTGCTGAAGTTGAGAGTCGGACAATTTTTCAAGAAAAGGGGTGTTGGTCCTCAAGCAACAATAAACAGCATATTTAAGAATGGTATAAGGGAGGATGCATGTCAAGCAATTGCAAGGGTTTTCTACAACAATGTCATAGCTTTCAATGTGGCAAGAAGTGAAGAATTTCCTACTATGTGTGAGTTAATTGCACGACATGGCTCAGGAATTAAGCCACCCTCTTATCATGAGATTAGAGTGATATACTTGAAGAAAGAAGTGAAGTAGACAATGACCCTTATTGAAGAACATAAGGCTGTTTGGAAGAATGTTGGCTACACGATAATGATAGTTAGGTGGATTGACAAAAAGAGGAGAACCATTCTGAACTTCTTAGTGAACACCCTAAAGGTACAGTATTTTTTAAGTCAATTGATGCTTCTCACATTACCAAAACAGCTAACAAAATATTTAAAATACTCGAAGAAGTTGTAGAAAGAGGTTGGTGAGAAAAAAGTGCAAATTGTGACTGATAATGCAACAAACTCAGAAGTTGTTGGAGAGATGTGGATGGAGAAAAGGAGGAATTTATGTTGGACTTCTTGTGTTGCACACTGCATTAATCTAATGTTAGAAGACTTTGAGAGAAAAATACCCCTCCATGAGGAAACAATTCCAAAAGGCAGGAAAATCACAACCTATATTTACTCAAGGACTTCTCTTATTTCATTATTGCAACACTTCACAAAAGGAAAAGATTTAGTGAGACTAGGTATTACTCTATTTGCCACTTCATATTTAAATTTCGGGTGCCTTCATGAGAACAAAAGAGCTTTGTTAAGAATGTTCTCATGTGATGAATGAAAATCTAGTAAGTTTTCTAGGACAAAAGAGGAGAAATTGGTGAAGGAAATTGTTATGAACAACTAGTTTTGGAAGATTATTCTTATCTATTTAAAGGGTGCATATCCTTTAAATAAAGTGCTTTATTTGATTGATTTAGATGAGAAGCAAGCCATGGGCATTGTTTATGAGGCAATGAACCAAGCTAAAGAGGCCATCCATACAACTTTCAATGGTATCAAGAAGAGGTAATTGATTATCTATCAAATTTAGTTAAAATTAAGAAGCTTAATTATGTTTTTGGTCCTTATAAATATTAAAAATTTTGTGATAAGTTCTCGTAAAATTTTTTGTTAAGATTTAATCTCTTAAAAGTTAGGATTTAATCCCTGCCGTCATCTTCCTTCTGTTAAGTGTTGAGCAAGCTAATATAGAGTCAACTCAGCACTACCATGTGACACCACATGATATACCACGTCATCTAATTTTTTTATATTTATTATTTAAAATTAATATTTACAAATAAATCCTTAGACACAATTTACATAATAAAATATGGGTCCCTCTTCTTCCTCCTAGCAATCGAGCATGTTATCAATCACTATGGGGGAAACACAAACAATGGAAGAAATGAATGAACATTTTTGTAGCAATAAATAGCAACCAGGGCAAAAACTATCTATCCTGTTTAAAACAAGTTATAAATACACAGGGAAGGATGAAAATAAATGATGCCCATTGCAATAAAACAGCATCCAAAAGCTAGAAATTACATTGCTCTTACCCACTCAGTCCCTCGTTCAACTCCATCATTTTCCATATTTTATCTTCCTTCTCCCTCATATTTGCCATTGACAAATTCTTCATACCCTGGCAGTATTCCTATCCAAATTCTCCTTGGGGTATCTCTGGCCCTCAACCAAGACACACAACTCCATAGGAACATAATTTGTCTTATTGCCCCCAAAATCCAAGGAAGGAATATCCTTGTATTGAAAAAGCACTTTCTACCTCCCACAAAAGTAATCAAGGAGAGTAGTATCAAATTATTTTGTTGTTTCAATTTTTTTAACACATAATTAACTATAGTGTTGATATGTAAGTAAATTACTGATTTCTTTACATGTTTCAAAATTTGCTTCCTTTAGAAAATTGTTAAGGATCTATGTTGCAGTTTTAAATGGGCCAAACGCTACTAAAGCCCAACCACATAAGGGGATATGGGGAAAGACCTATTTTTGTAGGCCAAGGGCAAAGGCGGTAAAGGGTGAGAGGCTGGGGCAAGAGGTGTGAAGAGTTAGTTAGGAGAGAGTGTGTAACAGATAGCAAGTGGGGTTGGAGGATAGACAGGTATTCAGTTTTTCCTTAAACTTAGGCCAGGCTTGGAGAAATCTCTCCATTGCTGGGAGCATCGCTCTTATCTTTCTGCAATCGCATTTGAATTTCAGTTCAATATACTCATTTTTCTCTCTTATAGGAATTTCATCCTATCATAAATTCTAATGTATATGATACACAAGCAGGAAGATGATGTCAATGAAACAAACTATGATGATAAAATAGATAAAAGTTAATGCTGCTAACTTTGGATAATGACAATATATCCCCGAGTCAGTATGTGGTTTAAGTCATGAGCTTTTTTTTAGTCATATATATATATATAATATTCATGTATATATGTGAATAGAATTTATATTAAGAAATATAAAAAACAAGGAATAAAATTGGTCTTTATTTAGAATTTGCATATTGTATAAATGTATAACAACAAGATGCTTGGTGCAGTGGCTAAGTCTTGTCTTATATAGCTTAAGTTTGAGGCATGAAGATGACAATCTTTGGAATTTTTTTCAAATCGTGTATCATGCAACCTAAAACCAGTCAGACCATGAGACCATTGGTTTTGCCAGTTTACAACCAGTTTAAATGGTTGGCTGGTTTTCAGTATTGTCCTGTCTAGTCACCTGGCCTGTTCCTAGTTCAACTAGTTGAACCGGCCAATCCAGTCCGATTTTCAAACTAGTGCTTATAAGGGCAACAACCAAAAAGTTGAAAAGCTTGAACAAAGGAAGAGACCCAAAACAACAAACCAAGAACAGATAAGAGGTGAGGACTGGCCAACAACTTGGGCACAAGAAACAATGGTTGTAAAGATACTTCTACATGTTGCCATGCACAATTGTTGTGTGTGGGTGAGAAAGCAGTAGAAAAGGGCACATGTGTGCAGGAGATCCTGAGATTTTGGTAAATGGTAAATTGACAGACAACAGTTCTAATAATGATGGACACCAAAAACACGTCTGGTGCTAAATGCTAAACAGAAAACACGATTTAGTTGATCAAAGTGTAAGACGACTAATTGAAAAGAATCAGGAAATAAATTAGAACATCAAATTTTGGGGAATTTGCCAGATGAATAGTGATTAGATAGGTAACAGATGATAGTACCACTCCTATACCATGTTGAAATTATGGAATTTAAGATGTAATACAAGGAAACTACTCAAAAATATTCTAAAAGATATAATATCGGTATGATGAGATATTCCAACACTCTTTTTGTTCCACAAAATAGAAGAAAAAATAATTTAGGGTTAGAAAATATAGGCAAACAACAATTTGACATAAGGAAAACATAACCGAAATGATGAGCCTGATTTTAAATTCAATAACGATATTCTCCTACATGTTACAATTCATTAATCTAAAATTGTTATGGACATTTCAAAATGAAGTTCCAGCCATCAAACAAACCTGATTCTGTGATTGCTGCAGTATGCGTTCCACTAGTAGCAATGTGTTTTATAGCTCTCTCCCATGATCCTTTTACTAACCTAGGAAATAGCTCTCTATGATATACCGAGTGTCCAAGTGCACCAAACCCACCATAACCCCTGCAAACTTCATTTTCATATAAAAGTTAACGTTATTGGGAGCCAAAAAAGCTTAAATACATAGGCAGGATAAAACATTCATCACAAAATTTAGGAACATTTTTAACTCCCTGAAATTTCAAAAGTATTTCCAACCTCAACAAAGTCTGTTAATTTAAAGAATAACATTCTAAGAACTGAAAAGGAGAACTGATTCTAAAAGTTATAATGAAATATTTGCAAGCAACAGATAACAACAGGCAGTGACAGGACAGCCTGCACCCACTCCCACCCTATCAAGTGCTGAATTATAACACCATTGCACCAAACTAAACCTCTTCCTTCATCTATTAGCAACGTTAGGGTACACTTATTGAAGTAGCTACTGACAGATAAAAAAACTTTAATCTAAATCACAAGCTGGAACTCAAGATAGGTGTCCAATTAGAAGATAATCCATCAAGAAATCTAGTTGTCAGTTGATCAACAAAGCCCACACTAACTTCACAACTTCCTGGGAGCAATTCGTTGATGAATGTCATCAAGAGATGAAATTTGTTCATCTCTGAATCTCGATCACTTAGGGCTTGTTGGATTTCCTTCTCAAAAACAGTTTTCTCTTTTTTAAAATGAAATATAATACAAGGGATACCCAGCCTCTGCCACTTAGTTGCATACGGAACATCAAATATTGTTTATAACAAGAAGAAAAATATGACCTAATGAGCTAAGTTAGATTTCTTTTCTAACACCTAATACTCTTTGATTTTAAAAGAGCGCAGAACCAAACGCACACTCAATCTCTAATTAATCAAATTTAACTTCACATATCGTGTCACCTCGAACAATCAACTAACTCTATGATTCATATTAACACACAATTTGCCTAATTTTAGCAACCAATTGGAAATTCTGAAGAGTTGAAGTGATTCTGACCACGTAAAGACTTGGCCGTCAGAAGTGAGCGCAACGGAATGCAAGCCACCAAGTGCAACAGAGCGAACGTTAAGAAGGTGAGGGTTCAATGTAGGAACGAACAAGGCATTCTCGTGGCCAAAGCCCAATCTTCCACCATCGCCTTTGCCCCAAATCCAAAGGGCCCCATCGACGACCAAGGAAGAGTGGAAAAGCCCACAAGAGAGGCCCACTTCAACGACCTCTTTCTTCTTTGCTTCGTTAGTGGAGAGTTGGCCAGGAGTTTGGGAGAGGGCGAAGGAGGATTTGGGGAGAGTGAGGTTCGCCACCGGAGAAGGGTAGAGCCGGATTTCTTCGATGCCGCCGCCGAGTTGGCCGGAGGCGCCTCTTCCCCAAGAGAGAAGCTGAAGCGTCTTGGTGTCGGTTGCCTCGTCTACGGTGAAGAGGAAGGGGATTTTAGGGATGGATGAGGCGGTGTAGGAGTGATGTAAGCAGTGAGTAAGAGCGGCTATGTGGCGGCGGTGCCCGACAATTGCCATCACTTCGTCAGCTCAGTTCTTCTCACGCGGTGCTGTTACTGCTCGGTCAGGAGCATTCTTTGATCATGTAAATTGCATTTTTATTGTCTTGTTTGTATCACATGACTTTAGCGTAAATTATAATTTTAAATCTTTAACTAATGTTTTAATCTATCAACTTTCCGTTTGTAACAAAAAAAAATTGTCATTTACTTAACTTTTAAAATTTAATTACTTTTTTAAATTTACATTCAAATTTAGACTTTTCTACCAAAATAATAATATTTAAAAAGCTATTTACTAAAATAATAATATTTAAAAAATTGTTTACAAAATAATATTTTTCTAAACTATTTTTTTGTTTAAATTATTTTTATCAGATGTTTTAAGTATCAACATTTTTTTTTATAAATGATATTTATCACGGTACTTCACACACGTCAATTAGTTTCAATGTGCCAATAGTATTGGTCTAGGGGCGATTTCAAATGGCCACAATTTTAAATATTTTGTAACTAATTTTGCTGGTACATAACATAATATATACCCCAGTCGTTTTGCATTTACAAACCTTTACGTAAAAATCACCACAACTTTAAAGAATCTTATATGTTAACTCAAGTCTAAGTAATGATAGGGGCTAATTTCAACATCATAATTTTAAGAATTTTTTAAAAATTACGAAAATAAATAAATAAAAATAAAATATTTAGAAAATACTTACTCAACTCGTCATTCTTTTTAATTTAAAATACTTAGAGATAATAGTATTTAAATTTTTAAGTTCATAAGATTCTTTTTCTAACTTAGAGTTCAAATTTTAATTATTTTTTGATTCGTCACCTGTATTAACTATCATACATATATGTTTCATTAAATGTCTCATTGTCCCTGTCTGAATAACTACTCTATTATTTATGTCCTCCCACGTTAAGAAAAGTTCTGGCCTATTCTTTGTCTTTAAAATTTTCTTATTGTCCTTTTTAAAATTTGGATAGTTTGCTTTGATATAATAGCTTCCTGCATTCATAACATACCTTTTTTGAATATTTCTTACCTTTGTGAAGGATTTTGTATGGATTTTTTTTTCTTCTACATTTTCTTGATATATCTTATTATGAGTGATATGTCTTCATTGATCTCACCATCTTCATCTGTTTTCTCTAAATTATCTATATTTATAGTTTTACCTTTCTTTTAGTATGTGACTTGATTTAGTGCATAGGTTTGATTGTGCTTGACAAATTACCTATGCTATGCACAAAATATTATATTATTTTATATAAAATAAATCAATATATATTATTAAAGTACAATATAAAAATTATGAAAAGAAATAGAATTCTATCCAATAAATTGATACATGTTTAGCATATAGACTATCGCAACTTCTTATTTTATTTAATTATAATATAGAAAATTTTAATAAAATGAAACAAATTTACTTTTTTACAAGTGTCAATTAAATTTTCGTGTATAAAATTTGATCTCAAACTGTAAAAAGTATGATAAACAATTTGAAAATAGAAATATGAACAAAGATACATAGATTTACAAAGGAGATATATTTTCTTTTAAATTGTAATTTGAACTCTCAAAAGCATTTAAGAAGGAATGAATTATGACTGAATAAGGATAATAAAATTGTAAGAAAAACACGTTTGATGAAACATGGTCTAATAATAATAATAATAATACCAACAACTTTATTATTGGTAAAAAATATTTTTATCTTTTTCAAACATTTTTCTCGAGGTCTAAATTTAATATTTGTTTTAAAGAAATGCTAATAACAACACATGATACTTTAAAACACTCTTTTTAATATATACTCTTTAATTATTAACTAAAAAGAAAGTTACCATATCTCTTTATTTCAATGCAAATTTTGAAAAATATTGTGTAATTAATACTTACTTTTTTAATATTTGTTTTTTTTATTTTAATGAAAATGCTTTGATTGAATTATTAAAAAAAATTAATCTTTATAAAATTTCATATAAATAAATATACATTACGTCAAAATACTAAGAGAAGAAGAAAGTTTGAGGAATACTTGGATTTATAGGATTTAATAAAGTAAATGCAGCAAAATATGAACCTTTGTTGAATGATCTTTCTAAACCAAATTGCTGTATTTTTCCGGTGAAGCCTACCATTTTCTCTTTTGATAGGAAGAGAATAAATATTTTTTGATTTAGTATATTGGAGACCATAACTATTTTTTCTATTTTAAATCTATTAAAATTTTCATTATTCCTTAATAGGCCTAAACTTAGTATCCACTTATTAAGCTCATATTATATTCTATTAGTAGTCTAAAGAACCGGCTAAAATTAGATTACTTTTATTAAGTTTGTAAAAATGTAAATAACTCATATAAATATTATAGATAATATGTAGTCTACCTTATTTTATTAAAAATATAAATTTTCTAACAATCTTCACTTGGAGGCATATTTATTTTGGCATTTATATCACAAAAAACTTTTGGCAACTATATATTATTTAATTTTAGACTTCTCATAAACAATTTGGTTCATTTTATATAAGAACATGGAACCACTATATCTATTATCAAATGCCATTATGATTAAACTACAATTATCATTAATCTGCGAAGTTGCGATTGCAATCAAATGAACTAGGTACTAAAAACAAATGTAATATATGGTGTAACCTAGGTCAAATTCTAGAGAAGAGTTACATTTTTTAATACAATTAAGAGAGACATGTTTGGGGGGATTTTATTACGCAACAAAGGTCAATTAACAGAAAGACAAAATGAGAAAAATCAATTAAAAAAGTTCAACCTAAGAAAATCTCATACAATGGTTCAATTTGTCACAGATTATCAAAATAGATGCAATTCAATTCTAATATCATATTAACTACATGAACATCTTCAAGAATTTAATCAATACACATGCACCAATTAGCAATCACACAATTAATGCTATGTAAATCGATCTAGATCCTATCCAATTAACCTTAATCTCAAATATGTGATTAAGCCTTATATTAAACCTAATTAAATCCCAATTGATTAGTTTGAAATTAATTAGGTAGATTTTAAATCATTAAGGTTCTATTCTTATCAGTTCAGAACATTTAAATTCAATCAAGTTTAATTTAAAATAAATTCAGAATCAAAAAAGAAAGAAAAGAATGGAAATGCAAATTCAAATTTGAACATAAGACCTTAGAATGATGAGTTCCTCAGGTTGATTGTGAAATTGGTCTATCATGCTTATCTCAATGGGTGCTCAAAAACCAAAAAAATGCCCTATGAGTTTAAAGAGAAAAGAGAGCTCCTCCAAAAATAAGAAAAAGTATATTATGAATTATGAGAACCAAGTGTCTTTTTGGATTTCTCCTAAGTGAAATTCTTAAGGTATCCCTTATCCCAATTAAAAGCCCTTTGAATAAGCTTTCCAAGGACATATAGTTTGCTTGATTTGGGCCTAAATTGAATGAGATATATCCTTTTAAATGAGGGAGGATCTTGCTGCCCAGCAACAACTTGCATCCAACTTTGAGCGCAATTTTAATCCTGAATTTGATCGAATTAGCCAACAAGCATATCAGATGAAATTGTAGATCTATGTCTTAACTTTCCAAAGCCACCAAGATCTCCTAAATTTGATATCTACAACTCTAAATATTGCCTGCACAAAGAAGAAAGGTGAGGCTATAGAAAAATCTAAGAATTAAGCAAGAAATTCATATAACTTCATTAAAGGCCTAACCCAACATCTCAAGACCTTATTTAAATTATGAAATTAAGCTCAATTAACATCCAAGAAGACCTATTATACTCCACCAATGATTGCTTGAAAAGCTTTTGATCAATCACCAAAGTCACATGTACTTCAATGACATAGATTAAATATGGATAAGTGGCATGGAAATTACAATGTGATCTTAATCATGTATATTTCCAACTGGTGTCCAAACTTTAATATTTATAGAGATCAATTCAAAATTACAATATAATTATTACATAAAATAAATTTAAAGTAGAAACATAGACATTTAATTTATTTTGTATCAAACAAAAGTATATAGAATATAAATAAGACTCACACTCAAACTAAGGAACAATCAAGAATTACACCTATATGAGCAGTGTGCTTATGAAAAACTTTAGACACTAAGCCTTTAGTAAGTAGATCAACTAACATAAAAGTAGTCTCTACATGTCCTATATAAATTTGTTTATTTTGAACTCTTTCCTTAATAACCAAAAACTTGATATCAATAAATTCTAACTTGGTTGTACTCATATTATTGTTGGAATAAAGAACCGCAAAGTTATTGTCACAATAGATTTTAATGGCCTTTTAATTTAGTTGACGATAGGAAAATTAGTGACAAAGTTAATTTAGTTGACGATAGGAAAATTAGTGACAAAGTTTTGTAGCCATATCCCATGGTTGGACACCTCAAAACATGCAATAAACTCTGCAACTATGGTTAAAGAAGCTATAAGATTTTGTACCTAAGTATCTTATGATCTCTAAACTATTAGACTTATGATAGGTGAGCATGTACCATTTTGTTCTCTTCAAATAACACATCACACACTTTCCTGCCTTCTAATGTTATATCCTAGGGTTACTTAAGTATTTATCCAATACACTAACCATAAATGCTATATTTAGAAGAGTACAAACTTGAGCTTACATCAAACTTTCCACGTAACGTAATTATAGGGTAACTCAATTTTAAAAGAGATTAATTATCAAAATTTTCTAAATGTTACATAAGGGGGGCAAAATTATAGGGTAACTCAATTTCACTAATTTTAGATTTCAAATCATACCCTACAAAGTTTAATCACTAACAATAATCATACATTCATAACATTCTATAAGACAGAACATCAATTTCATTCATACATAGAGCAAATATACATAAGGAGGGAAAAACAAACAACAATATCTTGTTCAACACATAAACTTAATTCAATTCCCATAACAACATAACAGTATGTTCCCTACTTTCTATTTATATTGGAACAAAAAAAAAATACAATAGAACATGAGACTTCAATTCAGAACATCAATTTTCACAACAATCAAATGCATTTTCACATAAATCACCTGCAT